ATTATAATTTTTATGGTACAGCTTTATGCAGAATGGACAATGACTAAGTCATAACCAGCATCCTACGACTATAATTATGGGTTCTCTGATCAATCCTCCACCACTCAAACCAATGACACAACAATATCCTACAACTAAAACGGTTCCTTTCTAGAATTCATCATATAGAAAAAGGAATAGGCAACATGCTGCTATTAAATATCCTATAAAACCTTGAAACGGATCACCTATAAGGAATAAACAGCATCCTAGAATTAAAATGCTAATTTTGACATCCGATAAGCAAAACTCATGAATGTAATTAAAAGGAAAACTGAAAATAGATTGATAACTATAATTGCTAAATAAGTTGGTGCTAGATTTGATTCATTGAAGCATATAGCAAGAAACGCAAGAAGTGTCTGAAGAGCAGTCCTGAAACTACGAGGAAAAGGTTTAAAGAGGTTCAATGTTAGGAAAAACGCTACTATGAAGACAGCAGAGGTTGGAATGTAGAAATAAAGAAAACTAATTTCATCCATGACTGACTTCCGAGGTACTTTTTTGTTCATTTCCTTTATTGGTGTGGAATTTGAGGAACTGTCTCCCTGCCAAACATTACCACAGGCGGGCTAACACTGGCTTGATAGGTTGTTGTTAAAAGCAGTCCTAGAATTACTAGTAAAGCATTGCGGACCTCAATTGATATATTATCCATGTCATGAAAAATTACGGTCGATGCCTTTGTCACATACTGGAAAAATTGTTTCTGCAATTTATACTTAATTGTTGAAACTCTTGGAATAAAGCAACCATGCAGAATTCTAATGCTTTCTCTATTATTAATTAAGTTGTTGTGCAATATCCAGTGCCGTTGAACCAGCCTGATTGGTCGCATGTTTGTCAGCCTTGCATTTCATTAGTAGTTTGAGCATCTATTTAATCAAGAGTTTGATGAGATTATACAATCTAAAAAGAATCTATTTCTTTTGCTAAAACCACTATTAATTAGAGCAGATGAGCAGAACCTCATGTAGATTATCTCGAGCAGCTATGTGCAAGGCAGTGTCCCCATTCCTATCTTTCTGATTCACCACATCCTCACCATAGTCAGTCTTATTAAGCATTCCGCATGGGAGTTTGAGAGCTTCTAAGTCTTTGTTTTTGTTGCAATGTGTAAAGCAGTCTGGTTCATAGTTGTCACATCTCGGATGCATTCGGGACAAGCCTCCAGAAATCTAGCTATGAGATCAAGGTTGCGTTCTCTAGTTATTGCATAGTGCAAAGGAGTCTCACCCTGCTTCCCTTTGACACGGACAAGACCCTTATCATTTTCCAGGTAAAGTAGCACTAGCTCTTTATGCCCTTTCTCCACTGCAAGATGAATGGGGCTTAAGCCTTGTTGGTTTAGTTTCCTAGCAAATGATGTCTTCAAGCTCATTATCTCCATTGCAAGCTCAATGCACCGTTCACCTGCAGCTATGGGTAATGGAGTGTCGATAAACTAAACCTTGTCAATTCGCTCAAAACATTTCCATCTTCCTGCATTAATCTATAAAATTAACTAACATTCCTTCCCCAGCAGCCTTTCTCAAGCTCATCCATGGCAAGAGGACCAAATGACAATAGGATGAGGAAAATTGAAACGGTTTAAGGCCAATTACAACAATTAATTTAAACATTATAAAAACAGAATAACCAGAATATATCAATTGAGGACTGCAATTTAATTGAAGGCGCACAGTAACTTTCTATTGCACTTAACTTGTTGGGCTGGAATTGGGGTCAACATCACTTTCTAAACCAACGTCCATAATCCAAATTTAATGTTTCAATCTTTTTCATCAATGGAAAACCAACAAGTTGACTGTAGATAATCTCTCTTTCTTAGAAATTTTTTAAAGACTGTTGTTTATTTATTTGGATTATAAAATTATCTAAGGCAATAATATTATAATTTTCATTTGGACGTCATTGACCTCATCTTGTTAATAATTCAATACCCAATGGGTAAGAGTCACTTTCCTACAATTTAAAATAATTAGAATGAAGAGTTGATAGTTTGCTTTTCGTTTTCATTCAAAAGGACTGAGTTTGTAACAGCTTTCTTTCATAATTGTTGGAATCGCAAGATTCGGGATAATTCCTTCTAATCAACACAATGAAAGATGTTAAAATTCTAAAGAATAACTACTAATTTGACTAAACATCAAACTGACAGAATTTTATAATTTTAAAGAAATTTCCAAAGATTAGTTGCAGGGCTAGCAAATTTTCTACATGATGAAGATGGATACCTTATAGGATTTAAATCAATGAGACAACAGGATGCTACATTAAACCATTTCACGATCGAGAAATTTAAGGAAAGGTTTCAAGACATGTATTTTTTTAAGGTTTTATTTGTTTCACTGTTTAATTATTTGGTATGCAAAAAAAATTTCTAAAGATAAATTTCAAAAATACAATCAAGCTCAGTGATTAATTATATTTTGCATCCACTAAAATTCACTAGCTTAATAACATAATTATTTGATTAGGCTAAAGAAACTTTGCAGAAGATTATTTTATGTTTTATTTTATGTATAGAATGTTTTTCAAAGGGATTGTGTTATTAGAGCTTGAGGAACCTTTGGTCCCTAAAGTTTTAAAAATTTTAACATATGTATTTATTGGTCTCAAATTAAAATCGTCTTTTTATGTTTTTATAATTAATTTTATGGATTATTACAATTAAAGGGAGTTAGAATTATATTACTATTTGTTTATTTGCTGTATCAAGTAATAATTACTTTAAAAATTTTAAATTAAGGGATTTGTCACAGATTTTAACTCACAATCATTTGAACTGAATAAAATCAAATTAATTTTTCAGTTTTCTCAATAACACTTTAATTTCCAACAAAATATCAATTTTTTTTATTTCTTTCTAGCTTACTTCAATTCCCATTTTCATATGATTTTTTTTTTAATTTTTTTTCAGATATTTATCTAATACTATCCTACAATCCTTTTTTCAAAATAAAAAGAACATTCGAACCTCTTTAAAAAAAAATCATAATTTTTAATCTCAAATTTTAAACTTTAGTTTTTAAAATTATATTTATTTTTCTTGTTTTGATAGAAAATTATTATTTAACTATTGATTTATTTATACTCTTTTATTTCAATTTTTAATTATCAAAAAAAAAAATTCAATAAGTCATTGAAAGACTATATATTTAGTAATTCTACTATTAATTAGAAAGTGTTATTCTTAAAATTTTTAATACTATCATAGTAATATGTTTATTTTTACAATTTTATGTGCTTGTTTATTTTTTATTAGTATATTTTATGTGCTTGTTTATTATTTATTAGTATATTTTATGTGCTTGATTATTTTTTGTTAGTATATATATGTGATAAAAATTTTATAAAAATAAAATAAAATATTATTAATTGACTTCCTCAAAAATAAATGTCAAGATCCATTGATCCGCTACTGCTTATCCTATCTGATTTATGTTAATGGAAGAAATATTGAGGGCAGTCAGTTGTCTAAAATAAAATGGGAACGTTTTGAGACACCTGGATCAGGATGAGTGTGCTGCTGCTCCATTACATATAGCTGCAGCTGCAGGGCACACTGATTTTGTAATGGAGATTATAAACTTAAAAGTTAAAACCATCACTTTCTAGGAAGCTGAACCACGATGGCTTTAGCCCTATTCACCTGGCCTTGCAAAATGGGGTTCTTGGATTTAATTTCTCAGAATAAGACAGTATTTTTGTTGATCTAAATGGTTTAAGCACAAGATGAACTTGAAAGAATAAAGTATAAATCTTTTCTTCTTTTACTTTTCCTTTTTTCCTTTCCTTTTTTTTTAATTATGAAATTAATCAACTTTTTAAAATAACAAAATATAAAAGAAACGTAAATCATACATGTCAAATTTTAATTAAGACAAGATGCTAATGGCATGAGTAAAGGGAAAGTAAAGAATTTAAGAAAGCAAATTTTTTTTTCAACCTTTGAAGAGTAATCTTAATATTGAAAATTTTCAAGATGCTCAATCAAAAAAAAAAAAAAAGAGCAATCTGCTTTTTCCTATTTATTTATTATTTTTAAATATATGTATAAATAAATACCAAAAGAATGGAATAACTTAGAAGTGAGGAAATTTGGAGCATCTAAAGGCTACCCATTAAAAGTAAAACAAAAAAAAAAAATTATACTCTCATATTTTATTTTTAATGTAATTACTTTCTCTTTTCTCACAAGATTGGTATAAATAATAAAGAGTCATATTCTTATGGAGGATAACACGCTTGTGTTTGTTCATCTAAATAATTCAAGCAAACATAAAGTAAAATTCTTTTCTTTTTCTTTTTCTTTTTCTTTTTCTTTTGCTTTTCCTTTTTTTTACTTTTTTTTTTTATTTTCCTTTTATTTCTTCGTTCCAAGGTGATAATCTATCCACACTTATTTGTTTTTATTAAATATAAGTGAAAGATTTGTTACTATTTTTATAATAAAAATAAAAATTATCTATGTCAAAGATCTATATAGAATATATAGAAATTGCTTGATTTTGTTTTATAAAATATATTTTTAAAAGTAATCATTTTCATTATACTATTAACCATGACAAATTTTGAAATTAGAGACATTAACATTGCAATTGTGTTCCAACTCATACTTTTTAATTTTGACAATTAAAATATTAATATATTAATTGTTTGGAGCATGTTTATAATTAATTTTAATTTAGACACCATGGGAAACATGGTGGTAACTTAATTTAAAAAAAAAAACACGATGAATGTTAAGATAAATCTTGATATAGATTGGAAAGTGAATAAATCTCTCCATTTATAATTGATTGTTATTTTTTTAAAGTAGAAAAATATATATATCCTAAAGAGAAAGAAAAGAATCCAATAAACAATTTTTCATTCTCATCTAGTGGAACAATATAAATATTTTAACCATAGGCTTAGCTTCCGTTAACCCATTTTGCTTCTTAATTACCCGCAAACTTTACATAGAAACACAAAAAGATAGCAGAAATGGAGCTTCAACATTTTAGCCATAAACATCCACTGGTGTTCGTTGAAGAGCGGAGCCATGAAAGTGACAAGGTATATTGCTCAGGATGTGGGGAGTTGGTGATTGGTCCAAGCTTCAGTTGTACCGAATGCGGGTTTTACCTTGACAAGCAGTGCGCTGAGGCACCCCGTGAGATGAATCACCCGTTCCATCGCAATCACAGTCTTAATCTTCTAGTAAGTGCACCTTATAAAGATGGGGCTTTTATTTGTGATTTCTGCGACAAAATGGGTGAGAGGTTTGTTTATCATTGTTCTTGTGGATTAGACTTTCATATCAAATGTGCTTTGTTTTCATATAACATTGCTGAAAAAAGAATTGCAGAGTTTCAACATATTCCCCGTATAGATCCATTGATCTCTACGGAAAATCAAATTAAAACACTCAAAAAAGCTAAGTGTTTTGCCTGCTGGAAGCCATTACTAGAGCCTGTATACTTTTCTCCTGATTGTGGCTTTTACCTACATGCAAAATGCGCTGATCTATCAGCAGAAGTCAATCACCTATTGCACCATCAACATCCTCTCATTTTACAATTCAACAGTCAACGTCTGTCTTGCAACTTATGCCAAGAAATCCAAAGTCGGGGGCTTGTTTACTGTTGTTCACTTTGCATGTTCATCCTTCATATTGAGTGTGCTGCAATACCTACTCAAATCAATAATCCTTTCCACCGCAAACATCCTCTTATTCTTCAGTTTAAACATGACGGTGATCTCCCCTGCCAGATATGTCAAGAAACCAAACATAAGCAAATCCTTTATTGTTGTTTAGTTTGCAAGTTTGCTCTTCACATTGAGTGTGCATCACCACCACCAGTTATTGAAGATAAAAATCATCCGCACCCTTTCATCTTGTTTTGGAGACATTTCTCATTCATTTGTGATGCGTGTGGCATGCCAGGGAATCATGTATCCTACATTTGTTCTACATGTGGCCTTCTAGTCCATAACAAATGCATTTCATTGCCACGCACCCTCAAACACCCAATGCATCCTGAACACCCCATTTCCCACACCTATTTCCTTGGGCAGTATGAGGTTGAATCATGGGAATGCAGAATTTGCCATCTAGAGGATGTGAATTCAAAGCATGGAGGCTACTACTGTTCTGATTGCAATTATATTTCCCATGTGAATTGTGCAATAGAAGATTATAATTGGTATGAAATTGATGAGTCTGAAAGAGATGAGAATCTTGAAGAAAATTCAGCATTATTGCTACCATATTCTATTGTTAAGGAGACCAAAGATGGAGAAAATGTGGTAGCCGCAGAGATAAAACATTTTACCCATGAGCACAATTTAGTTTTAAGCAATGACATCAAGGATGATAAATGTTGTGACGGTTGCGTGCTAACCATCTTTACTTCTTATTACTATTGTCCTCAATGTGATTTTTGTCTTCACAAAGGTTGTGCTGAATTACCTAGGAAGAAGCATCTTTGGTTTGACCCGCACCCAAAGCTTCATCCACTTACTTTAGGTGGCATTTTTCGATGTGATTTGTGTGATTATGAAACTAGTGGTTTTGCCTACACCTGTGATAAATGCGACAGTAGTTTTTGTATTAAATGTGCTCCAGTCTCCGACGTTGCCAGATGTGAAGGACATAAACACCCCCTCTTTTTTTATGGCAAGTATGAAGGATTGTGCAATGCTTGTGGTGATTCTATAAATAACGCACACAGATGTAAGAGTTGCAATTTTAATTTGGATGACATTTGTCTGACATTGCCACTTATAGCTCAACACAAGTATGATGAGCATCCTTTGAAACTCACATATCATGATAATAACAACTACTCAGAATGTGATTATTGTGACATTTGTGAGGAAGAAAGAAACCCAAGTCATTGGTTTTATCATTGTGCAATTTGTAACAATTCGGCTCATCCCAAATGCGTCCTTGGAAAATACTCATTTATCAAGCACGGGAGCATTTACAAAGAGGGAGATCATACACACCCTATCACTTTTGTCCAGAAAGTTCATTATTATCCAGAATGCCATAAATGCAATAAGCCCTGCCTTGATCTGGCTCTTGAATGTAAAACGTTTGGATGCAGCTATATTGTTCACTGGAAGTGTATAAAACCTGATTCACTTAAAGAAGAGGAAGAAGAAGATGAAGAGGAAGAAAAAGAGGAAGATGAGGAAGAAGAATAATGTTGTCCAAGGAAGGATGAGACCAAAAAATATTGCTTTTACTGGTTGATTCTAAACTATTTGCAGTTATCTGTAATAATTTGTGTCATATATTGTTTGATTATAAGGCTTGATAGAAGTACATATATCTAATGTAATTGGAATTAATTTAAGATATTTCTATCTCATAATTGAATATTGCAAGAATATTTTATAATTGATTTTGTTAGGCTAAAAAGTCTCAATCCAATTATATCAGCTGAAGCGAATCAAATAATCAATCAATCACACAAAAGATAATAATTTAATATTGTTCAACCCAATCAATCTATGTTTATAGATGAGAAATAAGATCTACTAGTTGTAAAGAATTACAAATATACATCAAATCAACCACTCAACAATCAATATCCATAGGCCTTCTCAATCTCCTCTAATCCACTCACATTTATCATACTTATGTGGACTTTTTCAGTCTCCTCTAATCCACTTATAAATATTTAACCACTCAACAATCAATACCCATAGACCCTCTCAATCTCCTTTAATCCTATGGAGTATTCTCAACTCAAACAAATACATACTCATATACACCATTTCCACACAAACAAACACATGCCTATAGTACGTACTCATTCATATATCATATCTATGTGAACCCTTTCAGTCTTCTCTAGTCCACTCACATTTATCACACTCTCAGTCTCCTTTAGTTCACTTACAAATATTCAAACATATACATCCATAAGACATAAATCTTCAATAGTCTTATGAGGTGTCTACCCATAAAACCCTACAACCCTATTATATATTTTACTCATACTTAACTCTACAGATACTTCACCTATTAATAACTATCTAATAAGAATTTTTCAAAATTTTTTTTCCTCTTAAAATTTTTTATTCTGCAAATCAAACTTATTTATTAAAAATTCAATCAAACTTACATATTAAAAATTCCTTTCATTTAAAAGTTCAATCAAAATTATCTATTAAAAATCCCTTGCCTATTAAAAATCCCTTCCTATTAAAAGTTCAATCAAATTTATCTATTAAAAATAAAATTTAACTATTAAAAATATATTTCTTTTTATCCTTTTCTTTTTACGAATGTTTTTATCCATTAAACAATATCCAACAAATCTCATTTGATCAAACTTACCTATTAAAAATTATCTATACGAATGTTCTTATCATTAAACAATATCCAACAAATCTAGTATCCTACAAATCCCATAATCCCGCAAATCCAATATCCAACAAATCCCGTAATCCCGCAATAAACAGCGCAAATCCAATATCCGACAAGTCTCGTAATCCCGCAATAAACAGCTATCATAGTCCTCTTGGTTTACCTATCTCAATAAAGTCTATGATTGGTTCGAAAAACGCCTCGAGATTCAGGCGATTGCAGATGATATAACTAGTAAATATGTTCCTCATGTTAACATATTTTATTGTCTGGAGGAATTACGCTTACTTGTTTTTTGGTACAAGTAGCTACAAGATTTGCTATGACTTTTTACTATCGTCCAACCGTTACTGAGGCTTTTACTTCTGTTCAATACATAATGACTGAAGCTAACTTTGGTTGGTTAATCCGATCAGTTCATCGATGGTCGGCAAGTATGATGATCTTAATGATGATCCTGCACGTATTTCATGTCTATCTCACTGGTGATTTTAAAAAACCTCGCGAATTGACTTGGGTTACAGGCGTGGTTCTGGCTGTGTTGACTGCATCTTTTGGTGTAACAGGTTATTCCTTACCTTGGGACCAAATTGGTTATTGGGTAATCAAAATCGTAACAGGCGTTCCGAAAGCTATTCCGATAATAGGATCGCCTTTGGTAGAGTTCCGGAAGCTATTCCGATAATAGGATCACCTTTGGTAGAGTTATTGCGTGGAAGTGCTAGTGTGGGACAATCCACTTTGATCCGTTTTTATAGTTTACACACTTTTGTATTACCCCTTCTTACTGCTGTATTTATGTTAATGCATTTCCTAATGATACGTAAACAAGGCATTTCTGGTCCTTTATAGACCATAGCTATATTATAACCAATCATTTATCTTATTACTTGCCAATCATTTTTCTTATTATTTGGGGGAGGAACAATAGTATTTCATTGCTACAAATATGGATTGTTGAAAAAAAAAAAATAAGACATGTATTTGGATATTTCCTTTTAACTTCACAATATCCTATTATTTATTTGATATGACATGAATAGTTGAAGAAAATTCCCCGAAGAGAAAATGGATTATGGGAGTGTGTGACTTGAACTATTGATTGGGCCAGGCAAAAATATGCCTTTATCTGTTACATTGGAATTCATAACTAAGTGTCTTTGTTCCAACCACTGTTACATTGGAATTCATAACTAAGTGTCTTTGTTCCAAAACTAAGTGTCTTTGTTCCAACCACCGCTACATTGGAATTCACAACTAAATGTGTCTTTGTTCCAACCACCGTGTAAGCCCCATACAAAGGATAGACAGGTTCCTTTCTATGATCAAACCTAAGCCCCATACAGACCTAAGCCCCATACAACCCATACAAAGGATAGGCTGGTTCGCCTAACGACGTCGTGTATGAACAGGGCTCCTACATTCATTTCTTCTGCATCGACCCAATTTATTTTTATTATACTATCGGAGTGAAACAAGAGATCGAAAGAAGCCGACATGTCCCGTAATCCCGGAATAAACAGCCATCACAATATACGCACATGCTGGTAAGTTTTAGTAAGGGCACAACAATTCTTCCTTTCACACTCACCGCACAACTTGGGTATTACCACGCCATTTGCGCTTTTAGATATAGAAGTTGGTTGGAGTGTACTTTTATTTTCTTAGCAATGTGGGATTGTGCTTTTATTTTCCTGAGATCTTTTAAAATTAGCTGTTTCTGGCTGTATTCCATACGTTTTTTCCTTCTCTTTTTGAAGGATTGCTTCACGAAATTAATACTTTAATACCTGATTGTTGGCCTATTCTATGATGAAATTAGATGTTTTGAACCAAGTCTGCACCAAAACATTATTATTTGTCCTGGTCCACAGGCTACTCCTTCGCATTCAATCTTTAAAATATTCAATCAAGCTAGGCAGTTTTCATAACAACATATAGTAACTTTTACGATCTATTTGCAAGAACAATTTTTAGTACACAACCTATAGATTTGTCATGAATTTTGCATTTTTTTGTCGAAAATTGGATAAAAACTACCCATAATTTCTCTTACATATATTAATATCATATAACTCATCACTTTACAAATTCAAGACTCCATTTGGGAGACGAATAGGAAGGCTCCCACCGCACCAGATGCGTTTTACGGCTAGAACCTTTGTCTAAATCATACCTCCCAAGTGAAGATAAATACTCAATACCATAAACATAGAAAAATAGAATACTGAAAGACACCATTTAGCATCTCTTACAAAGTACTAATACTAGCTATGGACGTGAGACATTTGCCCTCTTCCCAAGGAAGACATCAGTAAGCACAGTCTTCGACTGCAACGATGCCTCGAGCAATTTCACAGCCTGACAGAGCAGCAAAACAAAATTTCAATTCTGTTACCATCAGCAAACTCTAGTTCACTTGAAAATGTAAAGCAGTTAACCAGGAATAAAGGGTGCTTAGTGCTTACCTCATCCATGCCAATTTTGATCGTTTTCTCTTCAAGTGCACCAACGTTTTTGACATTGAACCTGTTGAGCAAAGCTATGCTGGAAATAGTTGACATTGGCTTCACCATAAGATCATCCATGACCGTATATGTAACCACTCCTTTCACAAAACCTCCCTCAGCATCGGATGATGAAGTTGAAGATGAAGACGAAAATTTTTTCTCTGTCTCAACAAGTTTTACCTGGTTGTACATTGTACTACGACAAATAGGACAAATAGGCCCCGGATCCTCTGCAATATAAGAGAGAGAGCCATAGCAGTTACACCTGTAAAAACCTTTGTGCTTTGAATCTTTCGACGACTCAATATTAGGCAACAACTGAGGCAAGTTTGTTGCGCCAGAGGTTAAAAGTTTAGGCTTCAACAGGTCGTCCTTGTCCTGAAATGGTTGCATGTAAACATCACTCAAGGTTTCAATGCTTTGATAAAGGTTTCCAAGGGAGCCCACCATGCCTTCCTTGTTAAGGAGTCTTACAATAGTGCCAACAGGCAATGACATTATGTTGAAAAGGAAATCAACAAAGTCCTTAACAGCTTCCGCAAACAAAACTCTTTGGCCTCCCACATCAACCAGAAGCTTCAGGCTCATTTGAGTGGCTGCCATTGATAGAGAGTCCAGTTCCGAGCTTAGATAAGTAGGATCAGTGAATAGATTCTCTGGTATGCTGAATGTGTCAGAGCTGTTGTTTGCCCTTCTGCTCATAACATTTTATTTTTGAGTGTGGAGAATATCTAAGCTTAAATAGATAAATGGTTGCTTATCATTCAAGGACCTTAGAATTGAAAAAAAAAAATAAAAATAAAACTAAAATCTAAAAGTTGGGTGAATTACTCTTTATGATCACTTGAAATGAGACAGATGAGATTTGAATTCTAATTGAAAATCATTTTTAAACAAGATTGTACGAACCAACTAAACTAAGCTTCATAAGTTTCATTACCATGTGCTCTTTCACTATGTAACATGCAAAAAGAAAAGGATTTCCCAGTACGTTCGTTTCCACGATTCTGAATTCCTATAGGTTCTTGAATAAATGGCATTTAAATTTAAAAAGGAAAAGGATTATTTGGAAAGTACAGTACCCTCAATTCAATCTCTTGACACGTCTTGAACCAAAGGGTATTTTCAATTTTCTTTACCATACCTCCTATGCATAACTTAACTAGACTGTCGATTACCTTCAAAATAAAGAAATCAAAGTAACATTAACTTTTAGACCCAACATTGAAGTTAAGAAGGTTTCAATTATATAGGTTAAAGCATGGTCAATCAATTTGTCTTGGACAGACAAGTACTAAAGCTTTTTTTTTTCTTTTTTTTTACAAAAAAAAAGTCAATTGAAGATAAGGTTAAAAGGTTGCAAGCGTCAAGATTTGAAATATGATCAATGAATTTGTTATTGACTGTATTTGCAAAATGGTAAGGATTTTGATCAGTGCCTGATTGCTAGGATCTTTTAGATAATTAGACTTAAAAACTCATTAAAGACCAAAAAAAAAAAAAACTCATAAAAGAGGAAGATTACTATGTGCTGCTATTCCACCGCTCTATTTGCTCATGTACAAATTCTGGCCATGTCAACTTTACTTCAAAGAAAAAGGAACCCAAATTTGAGTAAAGGTTATGTTCACCTTGCAAAAAGGAAAAGAGTTTAAAATACATCTCTTCCACGGCCCTCTCTATTGGTTAATTCTTGAATGAATGCCCTTTAACTTTAAAAAAAGAAAAAGATATCTATAGATCATAATTCACTCCTTTGCTTAGGGGGATCTTGAAAGAATGCTATTTCCAATTTTCTTTATGTTTCCAAGTAATTATATATCTCCTATATATAAGCACAATACCTTCAGTATCAGGAAATCCAACGACTGCTTATGCTCAAGAGCTTTGAGGATTTGAAAGAGGTCCCAGTTATACAATTTGCACTGACATGCTTGAAAGTTCAATTTACAAATTAAATATATCAATTGGAGAGCATGACATATCATTTGCAGCCTAATGGGAAAATTGCAGGAACACCAGACCAATTCTCAATCTGATACTATATAATTTCCATGTTTTCGATGTTTGTTAATTTGATACTTTGGTTTCCTGTCTTCAGTGTTCAAGTTGCATGAACCCAAGGATAGGAATATAAAAAGCCTTTGAAGCTTAGAAACAGGTACCAGTTAAAGCTTAAAAGTCATAGATTTGGGCTGTCATATTTGAATCAGGCTTGATGAATGCTATATATATGAAGCAAACAACGAAGCAACTGATATTTGGGATCAACGATCCGCACTCCTCCAATAAGCCAAAAGATTTTAGTAGTAAATAGGTTCAGATATGGGAGGTCTCTAAAACCACCATTATTACATAACAAAAGGCTCAGGGCAATTCTCGCACAAACTGCTTAAGTTTGAACAGAAATCAATAAGCATCCACTACTACACTGAGACTCACTGAAAATCAATCAGCTTTTCCTAAATCGCGATTGAAAGCACTGCACTAGAATTGCTAGTGCTAACATCACTTTGGCCCGCCTTCTTCCCGAGGAACACGTCGATGAGCACAGTCTTGGACTGCAAAGATGCCTTTAGCAATTTCACACGGTAGAGCAGAAAAGCAAGCCAATGTTTTCTTATCATCAATGAAAGAGTGCCACATTCTTAAGGTTTTCTCTTTTCATGTAGAAACTAACATCTCAAAGTACTTAAAATTAAGGCAGCAAAAGAAATGGGGTAATTTCTCACCTCATTCGTTCCTATATCAATCACTTGTTGGGCTAAAAGCTTCCAATCCAATTACACCAGCGAAAGTGAAATCAAACAATAAATCAAACACACAAGAGACAACAATTTAACGTGGTTCGGTCCAACTGACTTACATCCACGGATGAGAAACAAGATCCACTAGTTGTAGAGAATTACAAACATACATCATATCATCAACCTCACTCAACAATCAATACTCATAAGACACTTTCAATCTCCTCTAGTCCTATGAAGTATTCTCAACCCAAACAAACACAAACCCAAACCCTTGTGCACCTTTTCAACACAACCAAAAACATACCCATATGTTCCCATACATCATACCTATGTGGACCTTCTCAGTCTCCTCTAGTCCACTCACAAACAAACATACACACCCATAAGACCCATAAGACGTAGAGCCCCAATACTCCTATGGGGTGTCTATCCCATAAAACCCTACAACTCTCTTACATATTTTTCTCATATCTAACCCTGTAGAGACTTCACCTATTTATAACCATACAAACTTGTCCATTAAGAATCCCTCTCTTCTTAGAATTCTTTTCCTGTAACTCAAACTTGCCTATTAAGAATCTCTTTCCTTTTAGAATTTTTCTCTTACAAGTCAAACTTATCTATTAAGAATCCTCTTTCTCTTAGAATTCTTCTTTTTCAAGTCTTCTTGTCCATCAAGCAATATCTGATAAATCCCAAACAAATCTCAAACAAATCTCTTATGGGATTTGAGTCAATATTCCCAACATCACTTTCTCTTTAAGAATCCCTACATCCTTGATATTGAACTTGTTGAGTAAAGTGAGACAAGAAATAGTTGACATAAGCCTTACGGCCAGATCATCCTTGATCATGTAAGTAATAACCCCTTTGACATAAGCTCCCTCATGCGAGGATGAAGCCTTCTTTGTTGGTGGATTAACAACGGTTGCGATTTGGCTCATAATATTGTTGCAGGAAGGACAAATGGATTTCGAATCGTTTGCCACATAGATACCACAGCTGCCACGATTGCAACTATTGACACACATATAAAGGTTGGTGGATGTTGATGATTGAATGATTGGCAACAGGGGAGGCACATTTGCATCATGGTTGGAAACCGTAGACTTCAAAAGGGTGTCTTTATTCTCCATTGGCTGCAGGTTGGTGGATGTTGATGATTGAATGACTGGCAACAAGGAAGGCCCATTTGCATCATGGTTGGAAACCGTAGACTTCAAAAGGGTGTCTTCATTCTCCATTGGCAGCATGTAAGTATCACGAAGATTTTCAAGGCTCTCGTAAAGGCTTCCAAGGCACCCAACCATGTCTTCTTTGGTAAGAAGCCCTAATACAGTGCCAACAGGCAATGACAGAATGTTGAACAGAAAACCAACAAAATCTTTCCCAGCTTCTGCAAACAGGACTCTTTGGCTTGTTGAATCTACCAGAAGCTTCAAGCTAACAATGGTGGGAGCCATGAATGGAACACTGTTGTAAGAAGTAGGAGTTTCACATATCTTTACTACAATTACTGTCTTGTTAAATTTTGTGGAGTCTGTGCTCTATATTGAAAACAACCAATGGCACAGATACAGCTGAAGTGAGTTGCAAGGGATTCTTTCCATTACTTTCAAGTCTCCTATATTTCTTTTTTCTTTTTTTTTTTAAATGAGATCACGGCCTGTGATAAGAAAGTGATTGCGAGCATTAATATTTGAATTCCAGAGCTATTGGATGACATCTTTTTACGCAACTGCATGAACCATTGAACTATTACGACAAGTGGAATAATTTTTAGATTACTTAGCTATACTATAGCCTAATATTTTTAACTTTTCTATTTTCTTTTTCCTGATTTTGATTTGGGGAAGAGAAATTCGAAACCTGCTCAAAGAGCAGATGATAAATTAACCAACCAATGTGCAAACTTTTCAATCATCTTTCCCTGAAGAGATCTGCTACCTCCAATAGCAGGAAATCAAAACATTGTTTAGACCCCAAGAACGAGGTTATAAGTAATGGTTCGAGGATTTATACAAGTGGACTCACATGCTTGTAATTTAATTTACAAAAACAAAACAAGTTAACAACAGAACCCATTATTTTTATCAATCGCAGAGACACAATTGCAAGAACACCAGACCACTTCTCAGTTTGATACTTGCTGGTTTCAATGTTTAAAATGTGCTATTTCAATGCTGTTTTGCAAATAATGAAATATTTTGAAAGTATAAATCTAGAAGAATTCAGTGAATAGGTTTTGGCTTCAAAGGACTCTAAAACCAGAAAAGGATGGATAACAAGTTTCCCCAATTACATAACAAAAGGCTCAAAGCAAGTCTGTCTGAACTGCTAAAGTGTGAACTTTGAAGTTTGAACATAGACCAACAAGCATCTACTCCTACACTAAGATTTTACTGTCTGCAAATCTAAATCAAACCATCATTTCCTAAATCACATCTGCAATAGCAGTAAGCACCTCCTTGACATTTAACCTGTTGAACAAATTGCATTATTAAGTTTCAAGTTAACATCGGTGGAAGCCATGACTAGAAACATAATTGTATATTAAAAAAATGCGGCTTATGTTTCTTAATAGTTTAGAGAAAAAAGTTTCTTAATAGTTTAGAGAAAAAAATCAAAGATCATAGAGAAATGAATATGACCAAGATAAATTCTTTGGTAAACAGCCCTCTAAAAATAACCAAAATTCTTTGACTCAAATAGAAAGGCCGTTCAACGAGAAACAGCCCTCCAAAAATAAGAAACAGCGCTCCAAAAATAAGCATACGCCGCTGAGAGCAACGAACACACGGTATTTTTTAGTAAAAGGCGAAAGAATAGTTCGCTCTCTGTTCACTATACGGCTCCATGCTCCTTGAATTTGATTTGTAGTTGCGATTTTGTTTATAGAAGTTGCTTGACGTTCACTTGTTTGTCTTTTAGAAATGCGGGATTCTGTTTCTGCCCTTAGCTCTTGCAGTTCACTATTCTACCAAGCCACACATTTTTCGATCACATTTCCTCTCACCGTTCATGCTTTTATTTTATAAAATATAGTACCTTTGAACTTGTAGCATTTTTTTTTTCTTCCTTATTGAAGCATTTCTTCCTCGAGTCATCATTTTCACCATTGAGCTTGAATGTGATGAAAAGGGTTGTTGAAAACCCTGCCTGCCGGCTTAGCCAAGTTCAAATCCTTATAAAATATAGTACCTTTTTCAAACAACAATGTAGAAAATTTAAACGCTAGGTTTTCCTTCCTTTTTACATTAGACAACCAATGAATTTAGGCTATGAAAAAATCGTAAAGATGTGCTTATTTTTGCCAACAGCTGTGTGATCTATTGATTAAGTGATAAACTTAATTTCAATTAATAATCAAAATTTAAATCCTCGAGTGTAAAATAAAAAATAAATTATTAGGCTATGGCAATCTTGTAAAAGGATCAAGACCAAACATAGCCAAGTTCAATTCCTCAGACTGATGGGCAAATATGAAACTCATAAATGACAGAATGATATCATCTATAAGCAAAAGCGAGGAAGAAATCTATCCAGCTTTGGAATCCAGCATTTACCTTTGAAAGTTCATGTTAGCACCTGTCTCTACACAAAGTTTTCAATTTAACAGTTATGGGAATTAGGGAAAAAAGAAAAAAGTAACCCACAGAAGGGAAATTACGGTGTATCTATTTTGGCTGGAACTAGCCTTCAGAACTTGATTCTACTAACACTGAATATACAGTAACAGTGTGCGAAACAAATGATTATCGGTTATGATGGTATTATGGTGCTGTAGAACCAGGTGAACTGCCACATGTCCAATGGTCTTTTCCAAAAGCAAGTACCTGCATACATCATACACTGTGAAACAAGCTATACCACAAAGATGAGAAAAATATACAAGTAAAATTTTCAGCTCATTGTACAATGACTAAACTAAACTGAAAATTCACTGAACTTCTCAGTCCAAACAGAAATCTAAGAAAGAAAACCACCATCCTAAATTGAGCCAAAACCTTGAAAATGATGGTGGTCAAAAGGCACTGGGCCATAATGGGCAAGAATCTCAATTTTTCAATGTTCAAAATTACATGCTTTTGCATCCATGGTGAATTTTTAAACATCTCTAAAGCATGGCTCCATAGGCAACATGTTCTGACTGACATCTTGCTCGTATCCTCTTCATGTACCATAACTGAAGTCTAATTAACAAGACACCTGGAAGTGAACTTTACAAGGACAACTTCCAGCTGAATAACATCCAAAGTAATGAGTAATCCAGAAAAGAAACATGCGAAAGACTAGCACAGCCAAATCAAAATAGTTGCGCGCATAGGTGTTATTCATGCTTTCATGTTAACAATGGGAGGGATATGCAAAAGTGTAGCTCTCAAGTAAACGCTGAAAAAGATGGGAAGGGAGAGAAAACAGAACAAGTTCCTGTGGTAATAAATTTTAATTAACATGTGGCATATGAAAAGATACCATGCTATGTTCTTTTCAAAAGAAATATTTTGATATTCTATCAGAACTATCCATCTAATGATCAATTGTGGCCAATAAAGCCATAAGAAAAACAATGTTGCAGAATATTTGCAAACAAGTTAAGAGTAGTTGAAATATGATATGGAGTGTCTTAAAATCCTTGCAATGCATGCAGATGGCCGGAAAGTGGTGCATAAGATAACCATACCAATCTGCACAAAAGCTACTAAACCGACTACATCACCCAGATATAGCATAAACCTTTCCTGGAATTACATACTGCCAGTCAGAAATGACAGGAAAAAAGGTTAACTACCTCCTTGGTTTTGCCATGGAAAATAAACTTCATGCCTGAAATTCCAGAGCTAATAAGCCATTTGAAGAAACAGGAAGATGATCTATAAACTATTGGCTTGCAGATCTCTCCTTATTTGCAGTAGAGCTACAATGTCCTCAGCAAAGCAAGAAATTCTGTTGGTTCTTCATCTTCTATGACAATCTGTTCATAATCATTATCCAAGATACATATTAGAAAGTTAAAAGGCACTACAGTTTATTTTCATCTCTTCTGCAGGCTGAATGCAAGAGAACATAACAAAATCAAACAGAATGTGCTGCAAAAGAGAGTTCACAGACAAATCTTATAAATTTCTCTCGTAGAGGTAAATAAGCATTCCACCTCTAGAAAAGCATCCAGAGAAAGACAAGTGGACACCTCAAACTTACCGTGGTATAAGAATAACTTGATCCTTTAATTTGATAGCAAATCAATTCCCCTCATACTATGAAATGGGTCTAATACTTGCCTAAACCGATAATCTAATAGACAGCCCAGCCCTTTAGTTAAAGTCACCAGAAGAATGGAAGTACTGGAATAGAACCAAAGTAGAACCTCTTTAAAAATCAGTTCCTTGACACACCCTAACCCCCTCCCTGCCCTCTTTCTATGGTATGAGGTTATCAGCAAATCAAACATAGATGTAGTTTCTATTTTTAAACAATAAATAAATAAAATTTTAAAAAGATTAGAATTAAGGTATGATATTCCCTACAAATCTGATGTGCAACTTAAAGGCCTTCCAGTTTCATAATTATAAAACATCATTCTCATCTTTTCCCTCACACAAATGGTTCAAAAACATAGAAATAAGTATGAATTAGATATACAATTGTTGGTGCTTCAATCTTCTCAAAGGATTCAAAATCTTAAATCAGAAGCAAACATGACATAAAATATATGACATAAATCTGTACATAAACATGTAAAAATGACAACAAGCAGCAAATAATATAATGCCAAAACTCCAAGCATTAATCCGTACCTTAACAGGGGTGTCCTTTGGCAGACCCAATTGAGTTAGAACATCATAACCAACTTGGTTCCAGTCAATCTCTTCTCTATTCCCTATCACACTGCTGCTATCTAACTGAACCAAGCTTTTGACATGATGAAAAGACCTTCCTATCCAAAAATATAGAATCCTATCTTTGTTTTTGCCTATAGCCGTAGTAGGAGAAAAAATTGCAAATGCAGATTTTGAATCTAGATCACTTCTATTAAATTTGGTCATCCTCTCTATACTGGGCCAGCGACATACTAAAGGTTGAACTACACCATGACATGCTGGAATGCTTTCCTCCATCCTACTCAGAACAGCAGACACAAAACCATCCCGGGCACAATGATTTCTCTGAGGTTCACAACAACTATTAACAAAAGTACATTCCTTATCATATGAGTCAGCTATTCTACCTGGAGATATCTTCAAATCGGAACCTTGAGTCAAAATATCCCCTCCATTTCCAACACCACGTTTGGAATCAAAGACAATTTCAATATCCGACTCGCATGATGAGCTAATATTATCATTAATCCTGACTCCATCTGGCTTGACAAGAAAACATGATGGACCATTTGTTACTCTTACATTATCCTTCATCCCTGGCAGCTTGAGTGACTTTGACAAAGTGCCTCGACGTTCCGCAAGGGAAAGTGAAACCTTTTTAAGGGGTGAATATCCAGTGTGAGAAAAAGGTTGAGAAGTGAGGTTGACACTGACAATTTCTGTGCTACGAGATTTGGGCTGAGAAGAAGTTTGAGCTAGAGACAAGTTAGAAAAGTTAGACAAAGTTGAAGAAACTGGAAGAGAACAGGAAACAGCTGAGGGTGAATCCAAAGAGGATTCAGAGAAGTACTTTGAACAAGTACTGGAATCAGAAGCTAGAGAATCAGGAGAGAGATAAGGAGGTGAGGAAGACGAAGATGAAGAGGTTGACGTTGATGACGGTGATGATGCATGAATTATCATCATGGAATCTGAATAAAACCTGGAGAGCAATATCTTTGGTGCTGAGACAAACTCCTTCATTACACCAGAGGCAAACTTACGTCTAAGCATGCTCCAACTGCTTTCTCTTGCAGGAAGGCGGGTTTCATGTTCATTCTCTGATGAAGCAAATGGAGGGACAAAACCTCCCTTTATAGCCTTCAAGAAAATCTCAAAATCAACATTATATGTATCCACTGTCCTCTCACCAGGGCAAATCTTGATTGCTGACTCCCCTAGCTCAACTTTATTTCTAGATTTATCCATCAAAGGTAAAAGGTTTGAAAAAGCATCCCAAAAATCAGCCGGTTCTTCTCCTTCCTTTATCATAATTATACGCCCCTGCACTCTCTCATAGCGAACAATCTGACAAACAGCACCTCGTGCATCCCTTTCCATGATAGATTCACAGTTTTTACCGATCCAAATATATATTGCATAAGGTATATGAACAATAAATGCACCTCTAGAATCCAGCACAGAAGGAGACGGATCATTCAGCATTTTAGGGACTAGATGCAAAGGATCATATGGTGAGTGAGGTGCAATTCTATACATCCTCAATAAGGAACTGGGGCTCAAAGGGAATGCATGTACCCTCTTTTGGCACTGTAACAACTGGCAAGCAAAACCCATATTCGGATCTGCAATTCCTCTGGCAGCCTTTACATACTGAAAGGCATCATCAAAACTCTGCCCCTCTCTCCACATAAGATACGCTATCACCAATGATGTGGACCTTGATACCCCCTGGCAGCAATGAACAAAAACCCTTCCACCCTGTTCCCTAACATCCTCAAAGTAATCAAAAACATCATAAAGTATACTAGTAATATCCTCTGATGGACTATCTTGCAACCATAAAGTTCTGTACACAAAATCAGCCTTGAAATACTCCGGACAAACAAAGCCCACACAATTTAAAACATGAGTAATCCCATTTTGTTTCAGTATTTCTCTGTCCCTTGCAACAGCATCTCCACCAAAACATATATGCTCCGCCACTTTTGAGCACTCTTTATCAAAGAAAGCAATCTTATCTCTCTTTAGAAGCCTGCCATTCTTATCATTATTCCGCTGAATTGATGATAAATCAAGCTTTAACCTCTCACCACTCTTGTTACCACTTGGGGTAGGTGGCTGTGGCCACTCACCAAGATCATCAGAACCAGCCATCGGCCACTCATCCAAACTCCTCCGTGCAATCGACAATGGCTGCAAAGGCGGCAAACATGACCTGGCCTTACAATTCTGTTGCGAGCGCGGGGTTAAAGGAGGAGGAGGAGGAAACCGGCGGGTTTGTCCAATATTGGTACCATCATTACCATTAGGATCTTCACCTAGATCTTTTTCCTCAGTTTCACGAATTTGGCCACTCGTTCGGGAAGAGGACCATGAAGCTGAACGCCAAAACATTTTCCTAGAACCAGAAAGCTGGCATGATGGAGCCCTAGGGTTAATGGGAGCATCCTCTTTGCCCACCATACCCACTTCAAAATATCACCTTTAGTAAAATCGCAAAACAAACACAAAGCTCCAACAAAACCCTACTACTGATTCACCATACTGCCACCATTACAAATATCACAATAAACTAATCAAACAAATATAACCCAAGTCCAAAAATCTAATTAAAACCCTAACTTTTCACCAGCTTCACCGTTTTCACCATGCCTACTTTCAACTCCTCGACATAAATCTTAATGCAAAACCTGGAACCATTAAAAAAAATTCCAACTTGGAAACAAAAAACCTTACTTGAAACGACAAGTGGACATGGAAAGAGAGAACTAACCCAAAAAATGTGAAGAAATCAAAAACCATGTCAGATCAAGCATGAGGAACAAGTAAAGTCACTGCAAATACACAAATTAAAGAGAAATCAAAATCCCATCTTATTAAAATTAAAAAAAAAAACAGAGCTCAATACAAGGCAAATTAATTAAACTGAAACAAAAAATGGAAAACCCAATCTGTAAATCTATATGGGTAACTTAGGGGAAAAAAAAACAAAAGTGTTTTAAAATCAGTAAAGAAAAACAGAAAAATCTTAAATTAGAAAGAGAGATAAGAGAGATTTGGGACTCACATGGAAGGTAAAGGAAGAAAAAGAAGCCATGGAAAGAGTGAAGCTGAAGAGAGAGAGAGAGGGAAAATGATAAAAATGAAAAGACGGGGAATGAAAGGAGAGGTGAAGAAGGGTGGTAGCAGTCTTTTTCAATAATTTTGCTTTCTTTATTTATTGGACTGAGAGAGAGAGAGAGAAAAGTGAGTATGTGAAGGCATGTGAATCTTTCAACATCTGCCCATTTTGGTAATTTTTCTCCACAAACTAAAGAGCTGGTTAAAAAAGAAAAAGAAAATAAGCTCGACTCAGTGTTCAATATTAATAATTTATATATTTAATCAAATTTAATTCGATTTAAAATTTTGAATCTCAAATTTATTTTAAGTTTGATTCAAATTAAAAAATAAATTTTAAATTTATTCGTTAAATATAATTTATATAATAAAAAATTTAAAAATATATACTTAAATTTAATTTAATAAAATTATATTTAATTTATATATATTAAAAATAAAAATAAGTTTATTAAAATATATATAATTTTTATGTTTAATTTATATATATATGAATTAATTTTTATATAATTTACATATATATAAAAATAAAAAATGTATATATATAAATTTAGATAAACTTGAGTTTTAAATTTTTTTTCAAAATTTTGTTTAAAATTTAAACGAGACTAAAAGTTATGTTTAAATTCATTAAATAAAATTTAATTTGTTGTTCAAATTTTTTCAAAATTTGGAAGGATCTTAGAGTTTTGATGGATAATTTGACTCTTAAACAGGATTATTTAAGAACACTTTAAAATTTTAAATTAAAAATTCTAATTTAAAAATTTTAGGTTTTGGGAAAGTGGGTAATTTTAAAAAAAGAGAAAAAATTTATTTGAGCCCAATTTTTTCATTCAAATAAATAAAAAAATATATATGACATGTAAAATTGGTTTATGATTGCAAATAATAATAATAATAATAATAATGCTTTTAATGAAAATTTTGTGATGGCTAAAATCAAATTTTGAAGATTTTTAATGCATTATCTGTTTTTCTTTTTTTAGTCATGGGTCATAACACTTGGAATATAATAAAAATTAATTACTAAGGATTCAAAATCTTCAACAAGACATCTTAAGGTTAGAAATTTAAAAAATTCTAAGATTTGGTCTTTGGGTATTTCTTGATATCAAAGTTCAATTTTTTATTTTATCCTTTTAGGATAAGCTAAAGGCATAAATACATTATACTTTGCAAGTTATTTATGGTGAGAATAAAATTGTCTTTGAACAAATCTAGCTCAATAATTTAGATATTAAATCAAAAAAAAAAAAACAATTTTGCAGTCAAGAAAAAAAATTTGAATTCTATATTTTTGTATATTTAGATAATCAAGTTGTAGATATTTCAAATTGAGGAATTTATTGGATTTAATTAGATTTTGCTACATTTTTACCAAAAAGAAATGAACCATGTGTGCTATTAAAATTGTTTCGATAAAATTACTAAACTCACCCTATTGTTGTTAGTTAATGAGCACTTTTTTTTTTTTTAACAAGGTAAAATAATTCATATTTTTTTATTAATTTCAATTTTTAAAATTTTACACTTAAATTTTGGCTAAATGGTTTAAAACAATATATTTTATTTAAAGAATTGAGTTCAAATTAATTTTTTTTAAAAAGAAAATCAACAATCACATAATTTATTAATAACACTATATTTTTTATTTTTGTTATTCAAATTCAAATATTATAGTTTCAAATTAAAAAAAAAATTGATAAGTCTTTATTTATACTCTATATAAGATTCAAGACTTGAAGCTGGCTCCTTCAAGCAAGTTTTTCTTTTTTTGCCTAAATTTCTTGATTCATTCAAAAGGGAGAACCTTTAAACTTTGGGTTTACTTTAAATCTAGGAAGAACCAACAAGGTTCATAATTTACCATAGTGACAGATTCAAGTTTTTATTTATTTATTTATAATAAATTTATAAATTTTTTGATAAATTAGTTAATTTTGTTAATAAAAATAATATTTTATTATTAAATTTTCATATTTTTCAATATTTAAAATTATCGAAAAAATTTTAGGAGATGGCCAAAAAATTTTTCATTCAAATTTTTTTTAATTTCAATATTGAAAAGCATTCATAAACATTTTTTTTATAAAAAGTGGATTTACCCCTAATTGATGGTCATCAAAAACAAACCAAAAGGTCAACTGTTAGCACATGTGGGGTGGAATTCAAACAAATGATTGACAGAAACATAGACTTACAAGTAAACAAGTCTTATTCTCATTATTCTTTGTTGTTTTTATTACAGGTTTTTCTGAATTATTTTACAAGTTAATTCAAGCTAGAATTCAGTTGGATATAGCAATTCAACCTTAAAATCTGTTTTTATTAAGGTATCCTATGTTTTCTTCTAGCAACACATTTACATTTGATTATGACAAGGAAAACTTTGTTTGAAAACCTTATTAATTAGCATTACTATTATCAGTCCTAAAATGTTTTGTCACGGGTTTGAAACTTTAGCCTAATAATTGTATATTTGAATCTCAAATATGTGTGAGTGTGCATGTGTGCGAGCTGTGACAGTATTATAAAGTTAGGTTTTGTAAAGAATTTTATGAGAAGGAAACCAATCAATCCAAATTTTTGGATTGCAATCAAGATTTTGGTTTTTGGCTATGATATGCAAAATTGAGATGACAAGCATGCAGTATTCTTTGCATGATTTGGTTTTGACCTATCAGGCCTTTTTTTTTTTCGGTGCAGTCATGAAGAGTTGGTGAAGTATCATTTTCACATTTTTCTGGCAGAAACTATGGAAATAAAAAATAAAAAATAAAAAAAAACTATGGAAATCAAAGTTGCTGGTGCAATGGAGAAGACAAGGTTAAGCCATACCTGCTGTAGCCTACTGTTCAGACATTTGAAGTTAGGTCATTGATTGACTCATAGCACTGGTGTGATAAATACTTGGAAGTGTGACTATATTTATATATATATATATATACGAAGAATAATTACAAATGTGAATAATTAAAGTAATTAATTTGCCATTGCTTATTAGTTTAGGTGTTTAAAGAGTTCAATTTTTTTTAAATGAAATTTTAATTTCGAATATTGTGAATAAAAAAATTAAATGTAAGGAGAATTTATTTCTCTTATAAGATTTGATTATGTTCGATTTATCAAAATCTAAAATAGCTACTAAACATCAAGAGTCTTAGACAAAAAATAATAATAATAACTAATATGATAAATTGTGATAATCCAGCAATTACAAATCAAAGTGAGGGGAATCATGAATAGTTATCAGCTTCATTTTTGTTTTTCAAGGAATAAAGGGGTTGAAATTTCATTGAGAATTAATCCCTTTGAACCATCATCTGGAATGACCCCAGAAATCCTGCCAGGAAGTTAGTGAAGCAAAAGTTTTGCTCGATTAGAGGCAAAGCCGTCTGAATCAGTTTATGGAGCATGCATGCCTATGAATCAGGACTCAGAGTCTCTTTGCTGTTTCAAGTTTTTTTTTTTTTTTTTCAAGCAACTGTGTCTTTTGATCTTAATTTCTTTAATCAAATCCGACACTCAACAGCCAGTGTTTGGAATTCGAAGAAACTACAGACTTACAAACATAAAGCCAAGTCTAAATCTGCATCAATTTTCATTGTCTTGGGTAGGTTTTTCTAAATTATTGAACTAGTTAGATAAAGATGGAATTGGCTTGAAGTAACAATGAATGATTGGCTCAACTGATAAAAATATATATTTTTCTTTTTTTTGTTTGAATTTGAATCAACTTGTTATGAATTCCTTAAATCCATGGTAAATAAGTCTACTTATACTTAGATCGGCTTGAAAAATATGCATCCGGCAGAATCTAAAAATCTTCTACCATCTTCTACCGCTTAAAGAAATTGACTTGAAGATAAACCTAACGATTTGTAAATTTATATTATATAAAATATTAAATTTTGTATATTTATATTATATTTTTATAAAAATTATGTATTATAATTTATATTAATATAAAATTATAAAATATAAAATTTTTATTTTATTAAATATATATAATAATTATTATAAATTTAAATTATATTATATTTATATTTTATTTTTATATTATATTTATCTCATATTATCATATTATATTTTAAACTATCATATATATATATATATATATATATATACACTTAAAAGTAAAATTTCATACCTGTCATGTCTATAGATTCCTAAGTACCCTTTGTAGGATATGTTTGAAGTTGGCCAAACTTTGCCCGAGTCAAAAAAAAATTGCTAACATTTATTCTACTAGAAGTTGAAAAGTTACTCCATATAATTTAGAAGGGAATCTTCTTTACTATTGGTCAAAGGAAATCCTGTGAAGGGGAAAATTAAGTTTTTGAATGGACATTATAATTAGGGTTGGTAATCCAATCTCAATTCATTGGATTTCAGTTTAATCTAATTTTATAATATCGATTCTTTCTTTTTAAAAATCAAATCTCAGATCAAATAAGATTAAATTTTAAAAAATTGAAATTAAATCAAGATATATATAAATTTTTTATTTTTTATTTAATTTTATATTTATATTTAAAATTAATATTTTGTTAATTTTAGATCAAATTTAATAAATTATAATTTTATGCATATACAAATTAAATATAAAAAATAATATTTTAATATCAAATCAGATTGAATTAAGATATTTATTATATAGAATTAAGATGAATTCAAGACAAAAAATATTCATACCAACCTAACCCGTTATCATCTCTAATTATAATATACAAGAGCACATGCAAGCAGCTTCACATCAACTATAGCAACCTGACATGTAACAAACAGAAGAGTTGTTACTCATAGCATGATCAAGGACCAGTTGGGGGTGTCGCGCGCGTATTCGTTTGTAACTGGAGCAGTTTGAACCACACGCCTTTTCAATAGGCATCTAAAGTAATGGAACCGAGGCAATGCAAATTAATATTTGGTGCAGATAATAGCCTCCCTCTTGCTCCACAAAAGCTCTATTGGAAGAAAAAATTGGAAGCAATGGCATTATTAAAAAATGAACTAGATGATGAAGATGCATCACTCACCTTTGATCAGTTGTGTTAATTTAAGGGACTAGAATGAAGATGCATCACTCACCTTTGAGTTGTGTCAATGTAAGGAACTAGAATGATTGAATCCTTCTAATAC